CGGGGCTCGAGGGGGGCCTCGCGACGGGTTCCTGATCCATTGCGTTCGGACCTGACGGGCCCTCAGTGGAGCCAGGCCCGCCATTATGCCGCATCATCGAGTCCTTCATGTCACGCCTAACCACTCGCCTGGCTGGGGGGGGGGGCGGGGGGCGCTGCGCCATCTCGATCTGCGCCTTGGCGCCCTGATCTGATTAGCCCCAACGATGCCAGCCCCGCCAATCTGCCGCGCCATCTCGCTCTGCATTCTTGGCCTAACCCCGCGCCTTGCTGGGGGATTCATCTGCACCGCCTCGTCCATGTTGATGTCAGGCCTAACTCCTCGCTTGGCGGGGAATGCTCTCGTCGCTCCTTGTGCAGCGGTCGCCCTGTTGCCCCTGGCTCGGGGGGGAGGGGCCGGGGTGCTCGCGGAGCTGCCCCCTCCTTGCTCAGGCCAGTGCGCCGCCCCTCGTGTGATCTCTCCCGCTGCGCTGGCCTGTTCGCGACGGGCCGCCGCCAGCGCCGAACGCCAGAGTGCAACAGAGATGGATGAAAAGGGTGGCACTACGGAACTAGTGTCGAACCGTTGCAGGAGACCATGCTTTGTCCTCCAGCATGGGGCATTCCATCGCGCACGCGCCCAGCGCACCAGTGGTACTTGGAAGAACGCCGCTTCAGATCATTCGTGCAACTGCGTTTCCCAACTTCGCAATATATGAAAGCCGCATCTCCACAAGCTTGCTGTATTCATGACTAGCTCTGATGCGTGTGCCACTAAACCGTCTGCTTTGAATGAGAACAAACCAGCCAATCGGAGCGCGTTGGATGGCGAACGAAGGACTCTGTGCAGAACGATTTTTCTTTGTGCAGGTCTACGGTTGGCAAAGAAAGCTGTAGGGCACGAAAGCAGAAAGGGCAGTACTGTTACACTGAAGCGGGCTGACACTAGATTCCGATGACAGAAGATCAACTACAGTCGTACTGGGTAAGAGCCGCAATTTTGCTAGCCTCCCAGTGCTTCTGAAACCTGGAGAGACAGTTGTTAAAGCAGACAGACAGGGCTGCTCAAGCCTCGTAGCATCCGCACTTCCTCCGACCCCCCCCCCCCGTGGAGACGACGACGACACCTCCGCCACCAATGGAACAAATGTCGGGTCCATCGCGGTGGCCCACACCGAACCTGAAACTGGGCAGCCTTACGACACGCCTGAACACAAATGGAACATATATAGCCTTTCGCCCTGCAGCAGATCAAAGCTGCGAGGCTCAGAGTACACTGATGCGAGCAAACTCAGATATCCAAGCGGCACGCAAATAAGGAGAGAACATCTCCCACTGCCAGTAGCTGCCAAGAGATGGAAACACACTGGCTATATCGAGCGCAACAAAGACAGGCGCCTGTGTAACAGCTGTCTCGCTGGTGCTATCCCGGCGGGCAGCTGCGTCTAGTTGGGGCAAATGATGTAGAACATTCCTGCTCGGCACAAATCCCAGCTGGGCTCGGTGAGAGCGCGCACAGACCAGTCCTTTTGAGCCATCCGTGCTGCGCGACACAAGAGGGCAAGTTTGGTTTGGACTCCGCAGGAACTCATTGGCATCACTGGTCTCCCTCCCTGTGGGCAGGAAGGCGAAGATGGGATCATTCAGGGTCTCTGGAGCATGGTGGACCGCCACGGGGCGCCTCAGGAGTACCAGGTCCTCCGAGACCACCCATGCCTGCCGTCGCCTTCCTCGTAGAGCACTTTGGGCTGTATGTACAGCAAACTCACGGTTGGCCTGAAGCCCTGCAGCGTGTAGTGAACGAAATTGACGGCGGACAGAATCGAGAGGATCAGGATGGTGATGATGATGATGAGGAGGAGGAGGAGGAGGAGGAGAAGGAGGAGGAAGTCGCGCAAGGGTCGTCTGAAGCCTCCCGGCTCCTGGGGAGGTCCCGGCGGGAGGCCCTAGAAGGCCTCCAGGGACCCGAGCAGAGATGCCACAGCCTAAGACTCCCGTGGTGAGGTTTGTTGAATCCCAATGCTCTTCCTCAATCTCGGCTGTGCCAGGAGGCCTCCGCAGGCGCACTGGCAGGCCTCCGAGCCCAGAGCAGAGATGCTAGCTCAGATCTCCGACGATGTTTTTTTTTTCAATCCCGACCCAACGTGCTTCCTCGAATGTCGGTCCTCTGGGGCCCGTTATCGGGCCGCTGGGACCATCCAAGTCGGATCCAGGACGACCAACTGCCCCCAGGGAAAGGGTCCGCGCATAGGAAAAAACGCATCGTAGGATGTCTGAAACTTGGGTCCTGGATCCTCGACGACCCCTTCCACCTCCGTGACGGAGCCTCCGTGTTCTGTCCGCTGGGCCGCGCACCTTGCTGAGGGGGAACGATAATCAGCTCACGAAGGGGGGAAGCATCGAACTTGAATCGGCGATGCATCACGATAGGTCGGCGATTAGCCCCCGACTGTCAAGCCGCCCGTTCCTGGGCGGGGTGGGCTAGCAGGCCCGGCGATGAGTGGGCGCATTGGGGGTCGATGCGCTGCCCCCTGAACCCCCCCCTCTCTCTGTCGCTGCCCCCCCTGGATCCCCCGCGCCCAGGCGGTGGGTTCCGGAAACCCCGACCCCCCCCAAAACTGTTTTTTTTCCGGCGACGACCTATTGGCAACGAAACGTGCCGTGCCAGGCTCTCTGCCACGAGGGGGGCCAGCATTCGGGGGACAAGATCCCCCAAAACCTGCCATAGCCAACCTGCCATAGGCGAGCCGTCGCGCGCATCCATGGCGCGTGCATCCCCCAAACTGCCACTTCTCGGAAGACGCCCTCCTGCCTCCGCCGGCCCTCCGCCGGTGGAGGCGGCCTCGGCCCACCTCCGCCACCGCCCGCCGAAGGGGGCGACGCCGACTGCTTCGGTCCTCGAGCAAGGGAGGCCCTCTTCTGGGAGGAGGGGGAGGAGGAGGAGGAGGAGGAGGAGGAGGAGGAGGAGGAGGAGGAGGAGGTGGAGGAGGAGGAGGAGGAGGAGGAGGGAGGGGGGAGGGGAGGAGGAGGAGGGGGAGGAGGAGGAGGAGGGAGGAGGAGGAGGAGGAGGAGGAGGGGGAGGAGGAGGAGGAGGAGGAGGAGGAGGAGGAGGAGGAGGAGGAGGAGGAGGAGGAGGAGGAGGAGGAGGAGGAGGAAGCGAGGCCCTTTTCTGGAACGCCGCGGGCCGTGAGCGAGCTCGGTCCGCGAGGCCGTGAGCTCCGCTCTGGACGGCGGCCCTCCGCCCGCGAGGCCGAACGGCGGGCACCGGCGGCCGCGTGCCCTTCGGGGCACGCCTGGGCCGGCCTCTGCCGCGCGGGCCCCAAAAAAAGCGGGCGCCTCTCCGCACGTCTCCGACGATCTGCGCTCGTCCGACCGGCGTTTCCGCTTCCTCGCCTTCCGGCGCCCCATGTGGGGCCCGGCATCGGGCCCCTGGGGGCCCGCAGAGACGGATCCGGGGCGAGGGGCTGCCCCCCCGGGAGGGGGTCGAGGGCCCTGGGGCCGCGGAGTGGAGAAGCCACATCGGCGGAGTCGGGGTCGTCTCCCCGCTGTTTGGGGGCACGGGGCTCGCGACTCCATCGCGCTGTGAGCAGCGGTCACCTGCGGCCACATGCCAGCAGGGCACGTCAGGGTGGATCCACCCTCTGGGCCAGGAAGCAAACTCCCTCGTCTCCACCCGGGGGAGGTGGGGAGGGAGAGAGGGAGGCAGGGAAAGATGGCGAGAAGGGGCAGAGCATGGGGGGAGGAAACGATGGAGGTGGACGGAGAGAGGCTCGAGGAAGATAGGAGGGATATCTGAGGAAGAAGGACGGATAATGCAGGAAGGATATATGAGGCTCGAGAGAGGGAGAAGGGCCGAAGGAGCGAGGATGGAGGCTCGATAAGGGAGGGTGGATGAAGGGATCGGGGGAGTGCGGAGGTCGTCGTCGTCGAACGATGACGACGACGACTCCCGCACTTCCGACTGGCCTCGGGGTGCGACAGGGTGTAGTTATTCATAAGCGAAAGGCATGGAGGAAGGGGGAGGATGAGGGTGAGGAGTGAGAGGAGAAGGAGGAGGGAGGAAAGAGGGGAGGAGGGAGGAGAGAGGAGCGAGGACTTGTTCAAAGCCGATTGCCTTGTGAGTAGCAGCGCCCTTCAGTTGGAGCATGCAGTGCTGCAAACCTGTAGCACCGTTGACGGTTGGCCCACCGTGGGATGGTGGAAGTCCCCGATCGTGCCATGACGATCCCTTGCTCGAGCTCAAACTAAGTATGTTGGGTCATTGTCTTGCTGGGGAGCGACGCCTCACCACTCGGGATGGGGAGTGCAGCTCTGATGCCCTGTCCGAACTTACAGGGCGAATCCCAAAGGAGGGACAGGGGGTTCCCGGGGGCCCCCCACCCAGGGTCGAACTTGGGACACTGGGCGGGGTACGCGTTAGCTGGCTGTATTGCCCTACTCTCTGTCTCCGTGTCAACGAGATGGGGACTTATGCGGAAAGGCCTTGGCACTGGAGGTATATGACCGCATCGTTGATGTATCCTGGGTTTACTCTGGTCCTACTCCTCCTCGTCTTCGTCCTTGTCCTCCTCCTGTCCTCCTCATCCTTGTCCGTCTCCTCCTCCTCCTCCTCCTGCTCCTCCTGCTCCTCGTCCTCTTCTCCCTCCTCCTCATCCTTATCCTCCCCTCTTGTCCCTCTCCTCGTTCTCATCCTTCTTCTCGTCGTCCTCGTCCTCGCCCTCGTCCACCTCCTCCTCCTCCTCCTCCTCCTCCTCCTCCTTCCGCCCTTCTCATCCCCCCTCGTCCTTGTCCTCCTCCCCCTCTTCCTCCTTCTCCTGATTCCTTCTCGTCGTCTTCATCCTCCCTCTTCTTGTCGTCGTCGTCGTCGTCCGCCTCATCCTCCGCCTCCTCCTCCTCCTCCTCCTCCTCCTCCTCCTCCTCCTCCTCCTCCTCCTCCTCCTCCTCCTCCTCCTCCTCCCCCCTCCTCCTTCCTCTCTGTCTCCTTCCCGCGAGACGACTGCCTACGGACTCTACTTGCCACCCTCATGTGGAGCTGGCGGACAGCGACGCCATGTGGAGGGCCGTCTCGGCCCACGCCTTCGCGGGGTTGTTCGGCCCGTGCGACCGATCGTGCGCCTGGCCTTCATTCTGACCTCGGCGGTCCGCCGCCGATCGGCTGGGCGCCATCCGGCTCCCACTGCTGCTTCTGCGGTTCCGCCTCCTCCTCCATCCCCTTCCTCCTCCTCCTCCTCCTCCTCCTCCTCCTCCTCCTCATCCTCCTTCTCATCCTCCTCTTCCTCCTACGACCCATTCCTCCTCCTCCTCCTCCTCCTCCTCCTCCTCCTCCTCCTCCTTCTCCTCTCACTCCTCACCCTCATCCTCCCCCTTCCTCCATGCCTTTTCAGTATAAATAACTCCACCCTGTCGCACCCCGAGGCCAGTCGGAGGTGCGGAGTGGGCATGCCTGACACTTCCTTACCATGTACGATCCTGAAGCTTAAAGGTTGGCAGCAATTTCATAGTTGGATTGCGGGTCGCTTCCAACATGTGGCTCCCACCTGAGCGCCACGCGCATTCGTCTGAACAAGTTGCAAGAGCTTCACGGGTTGTGAGCGGGTCATTTTCAAAAGGTGGCTCTCGCCATAGCCTCGCCAAAGTGCCGCACACATTTGTATGACAAGTTGCAAGAGCTTCACGGATTGAGGGAAGCGGGGTTCAAAATATGGCTCTCGCCTTAGCGCCGCGCCTATTCGTTGTAAACAGTTTGCAAGAGCTTCACGGACTCGCACTGCTCATGTACCAGAGATGGTGCTTTAAGTGATTCAGGATTGCCAGGGCCCACCAGATACGTTGATTCGCGGTGCTGAAGTCCTGGTAAGGGTGTTCTGGCAAGATTCAGGGTCGTCAAGACGAAACAATCAAATTGATTCGTGGCGTTGAAGTTCCGAGAATGGTGTGTTGGCACGCTTCAGGATCTTCAACAGGTTGTCTCCAAATGCGGTACCTCCCTCAGTGGAAATGAACCCTTTTAGGGACCTCGAGGGAGGGTTTACTTCAACATCGTTGATGAGTCTTGGGTTTGCACTGGTTCTCATCCTTCTCCTCCTCCTCCTCCTTCTCCTCCTCCTCATCCTCCCCATTCCTCCTCCTCCTCCTCCTGCTCCTCCTTCTTCCTCCTCCTCCTCCTCCTCCTCCTCCTCCTCCTCCTCCTCCCCTGCCTCCTCCTCCTCCTCCTCCTCCTCCTCCTCCTCCTCCTCCTCCTCCTCCTCCTCCTCCTCCTCCTCCTCCCCCCGCCCTCTTCCGGACAGATAACCCCACCCTGTCGCATCACCGCACGAATTTTTGGCGCGGGCCGGGCGGTTCGAATGAATCTTCCTTCCAATTTTGACCTCGAAGCCTGAAAGGTCCAACCGTTACAAGGATGCAGTCCAGGTGAGAACAACAGATGGAGCTCTCGCGTTGGCGCCGCGCACACTCGCTCCAACAAATCCAGCATTTACACGGGCGGCGGGCGGTTCTGTTTCAACCCAAGGGCTCCCTCTTTAGACTTTCTCGCATTGTACGGCCCGGAGCTCAACATATTGCAACAGCTTCGCGGATGGATGGCATCACCTTTGTTTTTTGTTTGGGCTCTCGCTTGAGACCTCCTCGAATCTAGGCAGAAAAGCTTAGATGATGTGCACCGCTCGCACGTCTGGAGGCCAGATCGTTCTCAAGACGGAACTTTCGTCAGACGCGTCCTTGAACGTTATTGGCCCGACCTCCCCGCACCTCTCACAGCTACAGCCATCGGCCTGACCTAAGGAACGATAAATAAGGAACGAAGCCCCTTTTTTACCCAAGGAATAACGCATAAGGAACGAAACATAACAAATAACGCATAAGGAACTGTAAATAACGCATGTAAAATCTAAGGAACGACCGAGCCCCTTTTGAAAAGTAAGTGTTCCTCAGTCAAGCCGCTCACTGTAGAGGGACAAGGGGGCGAAGCATTTACGCAACGGAAGCTCACCTCGCCGGCAGGCCCACGGGGCCTTCGTCTGCGAAGGAGCGCAGCAGCCGCAGTGGAAAGCGAAACATGTAGAGACTCAGGCGGCGGGGAATCGGGGCGGGAGGGTCTACTGCAGAGCATTTGCTGCATCTTTTGTTTACGCTGGTCCTCCTCCTCCTCCTGCCCTCTCCCTCATCCCCCTCCGTATCCTCCTCCCTAAGCCTAAACCTGTCCCCTCCTCTCGGCTTCCTCGTGCTGCCTCTGCCGCGCCCCTCTGCTTCTTGACCCAAGCGTTGAGCGGTTGAAGCGCACACCGTCACTGCTGCTGCTCCTCATCCTCCCCTCCTCCTCCTTCTGCTCCTACCGTTCCTGTCCGACATGCCAGTGTTGCGTCCAAGGCGAAGGCCTCTGCTGCAAAGATGGACATTGCACCGCTCACTGTCCCCTCTGCTAACCCTTGTCCTTCCCTATCCTCCTCCTTCTCCTCCTCTTGCGCGCCTTCCACTTCTACTTGTCCCCCTGCATCCAACTGGTTTCAAGCATGCCGCCCTGGCCATTCCACTTTTACCACTCGTGCGGCCATACTATCCACGTGGTGCACTTTGCTTGACTAGTGAACGCTCCCTGTGCATTAAGTGTGGACGAGAGCTGGGTGGACGAGAGCTGAACTTGCAACTGCATTGACAGTTCCAGGTGTCCACACCTCCCTCTGGGCGAGTTACGGCAATTGGAACCTCGCGCAGGTCGCCAGAGGTAGGCGGATCACACAGCATAGTTGCCGACCCGTACCACCCCGTTGAGTATCGCCACATCGATTTTGCGCGGCGTGCTCTTTCTTGGTATCACCCGCACGCAGATATCTCGAGGAGCACTCTCGAGCAGGCGGCATCTGTCCGAAGAGCGTGGTGGCCTTATCCACCTCCGTTGCATATTACACTGCGTCGAGACAGTGCGTCGAAATACCGGTTTGCCTACCAGAGGTTGGCTGAGACTGGCGGGTGGGATCTGTTGCGGCTCCAGTGCGCAGTACAACAGGGACCTCTGTGGACGTGAAGCTTCATAATCATCACGGTGTTCCCTCCGTGGCTGTCGGCCCGGCTGCTTCAAATGTTTCGTGTCCGAAAACGCGCCTTTGCACGCCGCGCACGTCAGCGGCTTCGCGTCCGCCTCTGCTTTCCGCTTGCGATTCTCTGCGTCCGCCTTCTCGTTCCGCCCACCCTTCTCGTTGCGGGCGCACGCCCTGCAAAGCCTCTCCCCCGCATCTTTCGAGTCGTACTGGTTCGCCGCCACTTCCGCCTCCGTCGTCCAAGATTGCCTCCAAAAAAAAACAAGGGGTCGGCGGTGTGGCGTAAGCCTACAGAATCATCACGGTGTTCCCTCCGTGGCTGTCGGCCCGGGTCGTGCGAGAGAGCTCAGGCGCCAGCTTGGCCTTCTCAAGAGCCAGCGCGCAAGCGCTAAGACAGACACCGCCTGCTGAAAAAAACATCGTGCACCCACCATCACCAGAGAGGCCCATCCAGGGGCCCAGACGATGACTTAGGCGGGGGCACGACGGCCAAACCATCACCAGAGAGGGTGGAGGAGGCGGTGGCTGCCGCCGTCTGACCGATGGTCGGGGTCGGTGCCAGAGATTGCGCCCTGCGGACGGTGCGTGGACGCCGAGGGGCACTGGCAAGTTAGGGTGGCACGACCCTCGATTGGCTTTAGGCATCACTGCACCCTCCGCCCTCTCCTCCTTCCCTCCGCCTCCTCCTCCTCCTCTCCACGGCGCCCTCCCCCTCCCCCTCCCCCACCCGACCTCCTCTCGTCGTGAAACAATCGACGTGGAGGTTTTGGCAAATTCGGCCTCCAAGGCCCCCCCCCGGGACCGTCAAAAAGCGACACTCGGGATGAAAAGCCGGTCCCGGGCAAGAAGCTCAGGCGCATGGGGAGCAACGCTGTGAACAGAACGCGCAGGCAGATGTCTGGGCCCCTGGGCCTCGTACGGGAGGGGAGGGGGCCGCCCTAGCAGGCGGCCCAGGGGCCATCGCTGCCGCCTCCGCCCCCCGCCCCCTTCCCGCCGCCCTCAAAAACAGAGGAAGGCACTCGGCCAAAAGACCCCAGCAGCTCTCGCCCACGGGCGCCCCTGGAGTGTCTCCCCCCGCCCCTCCGCCCGCGCCTCCCCTGTGGCCACCGGGCAGCGGGGAGGACGGGCGCGGGAGGCTGCTGTGGGGGAAACAAAGGGTCCTGGATGCGGGCGATACTTATATCCATATCCAGAGCGTCTTGGACTTTTTGGGAAGGGGTGTATGGATAAAAATCTAACCTTGTGAGGCCAGATCTTTATCCATATCCAGTGCGCCTCCGGCTTCTGAGGAAGAGAGCCCCACACTCCAAGACGCACTGGATGTAGATGTAAGTATGGCCCGCACTGGAGGGAGGCGGGCCCAACAAAAACCTGGGCCCCCCTCCCGCCCTCCCGAAGAGCCAGCGCCCCGCCCTGGGCCGACGTCTCGCCCAGCGTCTCGCTCCGAGAGGGGGGGGGGGGGGGGGGCGGGGGCGGCCCCGGAAGCCCCCCCAGGCGGCGCCAGAGGGGCGCCGGGAGCGGAGAGGAGACTCTCGGGGGGGCCTGCGGACCGACCTCTGCGCCCCGTGCCGAGGGAGGCATTCGGCCCACATCAACATGGCAGGCTCTCGCAGCCACAAGAGTCAGGGGATCATCTTCGGGGCGATCGCGGGCGTTGCACCTGCAGGGCGAGGCCCTTCTGGGTGGGGCGCACACTGGGAGATCAGCTTCTGACACTCGGGACTGCTTCCCAGGACGAACGAGCAGAGAGGGAGTCTAAGCTGTCCAATGCTGCACTGCCCTCACGAGCCAGGCCATAAGCCATTCGATCAGAAGATCAAACACGGCTTAGGCCTGGACACATCAACAAGCCCATGACAATCGGCGTGTCCTGGTTGGCGTTGAGCTCCGTGAGCCCGGTCATGACCGCGTTGCAGGAAGCATCGTAGATGTCGCTGGAGCCACGGATGAGGACACCTCGCAGAGGACTGTCACTGACTGCTTGATCTGTGAACCGAGGTTCTCTCCACATGCAACCATGCAGTGAGACTAGAGGCGATCGCCATGCAGCCGCGCTGCTCCCTCCTTCGGATCATGCGGTAAGGCAGGAGGCATGCATGCTTGCTCACCACTGCTTCCCCATTCGGACAACTTCTCTGCAGGAGGGAAGGAGACGGAGATGACTTAGCACGCCGACTCGGAATACTTACCCTTGGACCCTGGTGTACCCCCCCTGGCAGGGCGGGCCAATCCAGAATTCGCGAGCCCTGGTGAGCAAATACATGCGACTCAAACCTTTGCGCCCAAACAAAATACGACCCTGAGCCACAAAGTAAAGCACTGAAGTACTGTCAGCCCGTTTGCGCCTCAGCCTCGACCAACGCGACTAAAAGGTCGTAGCGGAAAGCAAGCGTCATCGTCCTGCCGAGATGCTTTGGGCCGCAGGCTACAATGGCGGCTGCATTACAGCCTCGTGAGAAACCGAACAACAAACCTAGGAAAAGGACCGGCCGAAGCAACAAGGGCCCCCAACTTCGCGCTTCGCGCTGCCTAGGAAAAGGACCGGCCGAAGCAACAAGGGCCCCCAACTTCGCGCTTCGCGCTGCGCGAAGCGCGCAGTGCGAATAACTCCGCGCTCCCGCGCCGCCTCCCAGGGGAGAAGAGGATGAGGAGGAGGAATCGGAGCCGAACCGCGAGGCGAGAATAGCTTCGCGCCCTCGAGGGCGCCCTGGAAGCAGGGGCAGCAGCAGGAGCAGGCCTTGCCGAAGCCGAAGCAAGACACAATGGAGAAGGCGGAGGGGGGGGACCGGCCGACGCAGGAACGGCAAGAACACCGACAGCAGCTGCCCCCCGAGCGGGAGCGGAGGCCACCGCCACGGAGAGGCCAGAGGCACGAGCGGCGCGGTGGCGTCCAGCGGGGGCAGAGGCAGCAGCAGCAGCGGGCACGCGAGGGGGATGAGGCGACCCTGCCTGGGAGGAGATGATAAGAGCGGTGAAAGGAGATGCTGCGGAGGAGGAGGGCGAGGAGGGCGAGGAGTAGGAGGAGGAGGAGGAGGAGGAGGAGGAGGAGGAGGAGGAGGAGGAGGAGAAGGTGGAGGAGGAGGAGGAGAAGGTGGAGGAGGAGGAGGAAGTTTTACCGAGGAGGAGAGGAGAGCGGTGGGAGACCCAACGCAAGAAGAAACGGCGCGGGTTATGCTACTCGCCCGTGCTGCCCTAAGACAAGAAGCCGTGCCGAACTCCCCCGTGCCACTGTAGTCCGAGCGGGTGGTCCAAGGAGGGAGTCCAAAAGGCGCCGTATCCCGAGCGGGTGTTCCAAGAAGGGGGCTCGGAAACAGATAGAGAAGAGGGAGGAGCAGCAGCAGCAGCAGCAGCAGCAGCAGCAGCAACAGCAGCAGCAGCAGCAGCAGCAGCAGCAGTAGCAGCGGCAACGGCAGCGGCAGCGGTAGCGGCAGCAACGGCCGCGGCGTGAGTCAGAATACGAAATGGCGTGCGACTGAAAGGGCGATTACAAAAAGGAAGGAGGGCACCGATGACGATGACGGCGTCGGGCTTGGCCTGTCGAATAACTGCACGCGCTCCGCTGGTAGCCAGTCATTTGTTGTCGCCCTCTTTGCCTCGATCGCGGACGGCTGTACCGCCGTGTCTCGTTAGCGCACCCACCCCCGAATGATTTGCCCCGACTGCGGCGGGCACCTCCAGGGCACGCGGGCGATCGAGCGGAGCTTTCGGTCGAATCTGTCTCCTCCTCCTCCTCCTCTTCTTCGTCTTCCTCCTCCTCCTCCTCCTGTCCCTCTTCCTCGCATCGCTCTTCACTCTGCTACTTCCTGAACAGGGGATGCAGTCACAACCCAGCCCATTCCTGCCCCTTCGCCTTGGGACCTGTCCCGGCACCCAAAACATTTTCGCACGAGAAAAAATGGGGAGAACGAGTAGGACGAGGATATTGAGGGCGAGGAGCAAAGGCAGAACGTCAGAGCGTCCTCTGCTTGGCGGCCCAGGATCTGGCGATCCTAGGCGGCTTTCTTCCAGACGCTCACGCGCCTGACGAGCCGCCACTGGCCAAGAGGGCCTTGACGAGGAAGGGGCCGCCCTGCGCGATGCCACGCATCGAGCAGCTTGAGCTGACTGGGGCGGTCGCCCGCATTGGCTCTCGGACAGCGCCGGCGACACGGGCCCGCTTGCAGCGCCAGGGTTGAGAGAGAGAGAGAGAGCCCGAGCTCGAGCCCACGCCCGAATCCGAGCCCGAGTTTGACCCCGAGCGCGAGCCCGAGCCCGAGGCCGAGCCCGCGCTTGCAGCCCCCGCTCTGCCGTCCACCCGCCCAGCAAGGAGAGAAACAAACCGCGCCGTCGAGATTTCAGATGCGGGCGTGGAGCTGCAGCGGCGGCAATGACGCAACAAAATCGCCGCAATGACGATCTGCGCCGCCGCTCGCTGCGCCGACTGCCGGTTGACCAGGCGGCGGCTCCCGCGCCAAAACGACCGCCAGAGCCACTGCTGACGGCACCCGGAGCACCCGAAAAGCTCGGCCAGGGGCGCATTCGGCCCCACCGTGTGGAGCAGCGCGGTCCGAGGCCCCGCCTTCCTGTGCCCTGTCTCCCTAAGTAAAGCTGTGCGTGGCCCGCCTGGCTCTTAGCGGAGGAGGTTCGCTCTCGCCCCGCAGATCAAAACGTTGGAGCAGCGCGGAGACACGCGGCCCCGCAGGGCCGCGCGAAGCGGAGACACGCGGCCCCGCAGGGCCGCGTGAAGCGGGACATCGCGTGGAGCAGCGCGGAGACGCGCCGTGCAGCGGGAGAGCGGCGCGCGTGGCCGCGGCACCGCGCGACGGCGCGGCCCCGCAGGGCCTACGGCGCCCCGGCGGGGCCGCCCGCGGGTGCAGGGCCCGGCGGCGGGGCTCGGGTCTCCGCCCCGTCCCTCGGCACGAGGGGGCTCCTCCTCCTCCTCCTCCTCCTCCTCCTCCTCCTCCTCCTCCCTCCTCCTCCCTCCTCCTCCCTCCTCCCTCCTCCCTCCTCCTCCTCCCTCCTCCTCCCTCCTCCCTCCTCCCTCCTCCCCTCCTCCCTCCTCCCTCCTCCCTCCTCCCTCCTCCTCCCTCCTCCCTCCTCCCTCCCTCCTCCTCCCCTCCTCCTCCTCCTCCTCCTCCCTCCTCCCTTCCTCCTCCCTCCTCCCTCCTCCCTCCTCCCTCCTCCTCCCTCCTCCCTCCTCCCTCCCTCCTCCTCCTCCTCCTCCTCCTCCTCCCTCCTCCCTCCTCCCTCCTCCTCCTCCCTCCTCCTCCTCCTCCTCCTCCTCCTCCTCCTCCTCCTCCTCCTCCTCCTCCTCCTCCTCCTCCTCCTCCTCTTCCCGGTCCCGAGGGAGGCGGGCCTCAGGCCCAGTGACCTTCCCCCAAACCCGAGTTCTTCATTTTGGACGCCCGAAATGGGCACGGAGAGAATGGGCACGATGCCCAACAACAAACGTTGCCCCAAACCAGCAGCGGCCGCTGTTGGGCAGGCGGCCGTCTGTCTCGAAGGGCACAGGCCGCGGCGGCGCGGACAGCGAGTCCGGTTCAAAATGAGCAGGAACTGCTGTTGGGCATTGTGCCCATTCTTTCCGTACCCATTTCGGGCGTCCAGATTCATCCTCAGTCGTTGTCTGAGGGTCCCGGGACCAAGGAAGGGCTTCGGCAGCCCGAGAAGGGCGAGGAAACCTCAGGACCCCTGTACCTCAGGACCAGTTTGCTCATGTCTCTTGCGCCGCGGCTGCCTGGGGCGACCGCCTGTCCTCCTGACCCTGCTCTGCGGCAGCAAAGCCGGCTTCTCTCTCATTGGGCAGGTGCGCCCGCGGCTGGAACTTCGGCTGGGGAGGGACAAGCGACGGCTGCGTCGGAGCAGCGGGAGGTCCTGATCTCATGCAGGTCACGCTTCGCCGCGGCCGCCGCCCTCAGCGCGCCAGGTAGCAGGACACTCTGTCAGTGATGAGCTTGCCTGGAGCTGGACAAGCGCTCCGGTGAACTTAGCAGTCGCTGCAATGCGTTGAGCCATGGGATTCTTTCTCCAAGCTGGCGGACGCCAACGTGGAGATCCACTGCGACGGTCGGAGAGAAAATGCCTGGTCAGCGTCCGCCTGGCTGGTGAAATACCAACGGTGTACGCACGTGGAAAAAAAGGTTACCAGAACACTTGCAATGGTTGGAATCTGACATCAAACTGCCGTCTCATCCGTTGCCGCCGAGCTGATGGCAGCAGGTTCGTGCACAGCATTTCTTGCACAGTGCGCGAGCCCTCCTTCCCCCCTCGGCAGCAGGGAGGATAATGAATGACTTTATTTCGAAAGCCAAACAAAGTGCTGCAAGTTTTCAGCTCCTCAGCTAAACAGACTTCTCTTCCATTCTGTATAAACATGTACGTAAGCAAGCAGCACCTCTCCTTGGGCGTTAGGAAGCGGCTCGGCCAACCGCTAAGCAAACGTACGCAGGACAATCCTTGTAGATCCCCAGGCACAGTCGCGCGCCCACGCGTGGGTCCAACCGCTTTGTAAAACGCGGGTCTAACCGCAATTCTTTTGCTGCTCGGTCTATTTTGACGGTGTACATCCTCGCTCACTAATACGAAAATCATGAGATAGGACATCTTGCGGCTGAACAGGGGGGTGGAACAAATTAGAAACTAGCCGCTGACTTCCCCAGCAGTTTCTTACTTGGCTGGCGTTCCCAGGGCCTTGGCGCGCCCTCTCAGGTTTTTGTTTCTTTGCGACTTGGCATGGCTTCCCGAAAACGCGTCCGAGGACGCCAAGCGGTGGCGCCGACCTCTGGCTCGCCCGCGTTGGTTTTTGGTCATTTTCGACTGCGCACGGCTGCGCCGAAGCGCGTCCGAGGACGCCGGGCGGTGGCGCCGACCTCTGGCTCGCCCGCGTTGGTTGTTGTCCATGTGCGATTGCGCGCGCGCGCTCGGGCGCGCTCTGGTGCGCTGGCGCAGCCGTGCGCAGTCGCAAACAAACAAAAAACAACGCGGGCGAGCCAGAGGTCGGCGCCGCCGCCCGACGACCTCGGGCGTGCTCTGGCGCAGCCATGCGCAATCGCAACGAAGCAAAAGCCCAGGTAGGCGAGCCAGAGGTCGGCGCCACCGCCTGGCGTCCTCGGACGCGCTCTGGCGCAGCCATGCGGAATCGCAAATGAGCAGAAACCAACGCGGGCGAGCCAGAGGTCGGCGCAGCCGCCCGGCGTCCTCGGACGCGCCGTGGCGCGGTCATGCGCAATCGCAGCTAAGCAGAAACCGGCGCGACCGAGCCAAAAGTCGGCACCGCCGCCTGGCGTCCTCAGACGCGCTCTGGCGCAGCCGTGCGCAGTCGCAAGTGATAGATATATACATATATATATATATATATATATATATATAGATATAGATACATATGTAGAAATAGGTGTATTTTTTATTCGTGTATATATATATATATATATAACACCGCGGGCGAGCCAGAGCCACCGCTGAGCGACCCTGGACGCGCTCTGGCGCAGCCATGCACAATCGCACATAAGCAAAAAAAACAACGCGGGCGAGCCAGAGGTCAGCGCCACCGTTCGGCGTCCTCGGGCGCGCTCTGGTGCAGCCATGCACATTCGCAAATAAGCAAACAAGAGCGCGGGCGATCCAGAGGTCGGCGCCGCCGCCTGGCGTCCTCGGACGCGCTCTGGCGCGTCCATGCGCAATCGGAACGAAACAAGAACCAACGCGGGCGGGCCAGGTCGGCGCCGCCTGGCGTCGTCCGACGCGCTCTGGCGTGGCCATGCGCAATCGTGCACGTGCGAAAACCAACGCGGTCGAGCCAGAGGTCGGCGCAGCCGCCTGGCGTCCTCGGACGCGCCCTGGCGGAGCCATGCGCAATCGCGCATAAGCAACAACCAGCGCAATCGAGCCAAAAGTCGGCGCTGCCGTGCGCAGTCGCAAAAAAAACAGCGCGGGCGAGCCATAGCCACCGCTGAGCGACCCCAGACGCGCTCTGGCGCAGCCATGCGCACTTTTTGTTGGTCGCGGCCGCGGGCGAAAGCGCACGCGGCCTGTCGTAAGACCGGGGCAGCCATGCACACTCGCAGCAACGCAAAAAACCAGCGCGGGCGAGCCAGGGGTCGGCGTCCCCACCTGGCGTCCGTGGACGCGCTCTGGCGCGGCCGCATGCGACCCGCTCTGGCGCGGCCATGTGCACTCTCAGATTCGGAGAGAAGCCAGCGCGGGCGCGCCAGAGGTCGGCGCCGCCGCCTTGCATTCTCGGAGGCCATCTGGCGCAGCCATGCTCAATCGCAGCAGCGCAAAAACCGGCGCGGGCGAGCCAGGGGTCGGCGCCCCCACCTGGCGTCCGCGAGTGCGCTCTGGCGCGGCCGCATGCGATCCGCTCTGGCGCGGCCATGTGCACTCGCAGATTAAGGAGGGGGGGGGGGGGGGCCAGCGCGGGCGCGCCCGAGATCGGCGCCGCCACCTGGCGTCCTCAGACGCGCTGTGGCGCAGCCATGTGCTCAATCGCAAATGAGCAAAAACCAACGCGGGCAAGCCAGAGGTCGGCGCCGCCGCCTCGCGGCCTCGGATGCACCCTGACGCAGCCATGCGCACTCGCAA